GTCACCAAATTTACACTTTAATCCATATGTTCTTTTCATAGACAAACTATATACAATATTTTTCAACGTACCATTGCTGTTCCAAACAGGCATGCTTTTCGTAATGGCTTCATTTCCAAGTCACAATTCAATGTCTGCAAAGATTTTTTCCCTAGTTTCTTTGTTTCGCACTCCAATGTGTAGGGACATTATTATTATTATTATTATTATTATTAATAATAATAATAATAAATAAATAAATACATAAATAAATAATATAAAATAATAATAATAATTATAAATAAAATAAAACAATAATATAAAAACATTGTATAAAATATATTAAATAACAAAATACTCCCAGCATGCAACATCCTGCCAGAAATACGGACATCCCGCCAATAAACGTTAAATTCAATTTCTTCACCACGAACCTTGGTACAGGCAACACGTGTCTAACTTCTCTCTGTGATATGGCTTGTGATACTACGGAGTGAATTTCTCCGTTTTATCATATGTACAATAAAACAATTTTAACCTTAAAATTACACACACAAAAATATAAATAAATTATATGAAATTAACATACAATTTTCGATGCTTTTTCTTTTATTTCTGTACGTTTTATTTCCTGTCAACTATACTTTTATCTCCGTGAACACAAGGCTAATTTCTACTGGTATGATGTGAGTGAACCCCGACAAATACTTCAATGATATCTGGTTCGGTAATCGCTTTGTTGGGAAAAGCTTCCATGAGTCAACGTTTGTTGAATAAAAAATGAGAAAAAGGGTTGCTGCGTGTTCAAATAAAATGACGATATTTCTTTAACATAAAATACACAAATTCTTAATTGTAACTACTATCACGAAATAAAAGTATGTAGAAAGTTCTTCTCTCCGACTGCGAAAATAAATGAACATAAATAGTCTTTCAGTGAGGAATTGAGAAAGCAGAGTTGGACGACAAGATTAAAGGGAGTCCGGTGTTGCTTTGGTGAGAAAAACATGACAACTCGTGTCTCTGTCAGTTTTTTTTGCTGAGGTGAATCAATGTCTGGTTTATATGACTTTGTGAAGCCTATGTTTATTTATTGGCGGCAGTTGATTTTATTGTCTATTCTTTATTTTTATTAATTTGAAAAATGTTTGAAACCGGAAGGCGGTGCAGAGCCTTTGCGTGGTGTGTTTATTTTTGTTATTCGATCTTTTGATTTGAAACAGTTAACTTCAGCTTACTCCCTACAACTTTCTTGGCTCGTTCTATCCAAACTTACAAAATGTCCTATTTTAAACACTGTAGTAGTCGATCTTCTTTTCTTTATTTTCAGTTGTGTCAAATGAACAAGAGGCTTCTATTAGATAGAAAATCTTTTTTTTATTATTTATCCAGTCGAGCTATATATTCTGCCCTAAACTTGTCACTCCCTGTAATTTCATTTTGCTATTCTCCAGCACTCTCTTCTCCTTTGTGATCACATGCTCATAATACTTGTTACTGCATTCAAATCCATCCTCTTCCTCCTACAACTAATGATACGACTACTACTACTAATAATAATAATAATTATTATTATTATTATCTACTATAATAATAATAATTATTATTTATTAGTTCCTTTGATTTCTGTTGTATACACATTTCCTTCCACGCCCCAACCTGAGACCTAAGCTCAGAGATAGCTTCATGACTTTTTCCACTGATCATTTTTGTAAAGAAAAAAGAAAAAAAAAAGATTAAGTACAATGTAACCCGGATATAAGAGAAACCCGGATATAAGAGAAATTTTCTCTGGTCTCAAATTAGAGCCATACTTACCTAAACAAAATAGACCAAACCCGGATATAAGAGAAACCCGGATATAAGAGACTTCTTCTCCGGTCCCGACAACTCTCTTGTATCTGGGTTACACTGTACATTTTATGTAGATAAAGCTCTTTGTAATGTGTGAGCTGTACTTGTGAGTACAATATTTTGTATTTCTTTAAGGTATAGGCTACCAAGAATCCCTTCAATGTGTCTATCAGACCCTTTCCCAACCGGTTTCAAAAAGATATTGTGATCACATTGTACACTCGATCAGCAGGCTGTTATACCGGAACATTACCTATTCTATTGTAATAGATTCTCGCACACATAAGTAGTAGTAGTAGTAGCGGTCGCCAGTTGGGCTCAGTGGAGTTGAGTGAGTCAGTCGATGTCGGACACTGAAGTATCAACCACCACAACTAGATTGCTGCATCATTAACTATTATTTCAAGTTCCTAACGTTTTTGTATGTCGGACCTAATTTAGGACCGACTTAGTGAAATACAAGCCTCCACTGTGAAAACTACTCTACAACACAGGCAAACTCCTTTTTGGTGATCTTTAACAATTATGTCTGGTCTGTTTACTTTGTTCGATCTGTGTTCACAGGAACATCCCATAAAATAGATACTTTTTCTCCTTCGGTTACAGGTTGAGGACGATGTTTGTATGACTTGTCTTCTGTTTTAATTTTGTAATTGCCCAATGTGACATTCAATTCTTCAAAGACAAAACTCGTCAACATTCCATCATCACCGATCATACCCCAAACTACGACCAATCACAATAAATGGATATCCCTTTCATGACGGCTCCGTGCCTTGAGAGACTATATTCGGCTTTCATTGATACTGGCTGGTGAAAGTTGAAAGAAAGCACAAGGACAACCTTAGACAATTTACATTCAAATTCTGTATGGAAACAAGAATGGTCCAAACCCGAGTGAAACAATAAACCTTATAAAAGAATTTTGATTGGTCTTTAACTAAACATGTATTCAAATAAATTGGTTGTTTATATTCAAGCCTCAGAATATTTACCTTTCAAGGCTTATCACGTTGAAACAGCAGTTTGCAACAATAACCAAAGTTAAGAAACGTCGAGTTTGGTCAGTACTTAGATGGATGACTGTTTGGGAATAGCAGTTGCTGTAAGCTTGAATGTGCAGGTGGTGTAATGGCTTGGAATTGATAATCGGAGAGCAGAGTCCCAATTCCTGTTAGGCTTGTTATATTCACTTACACACAAAATACCCTTTGGAAATGTATAAATCCACCCCTTCTCCCCCAGCTATGAGTTAATTAGTAAGATTTGTATCACTAAATTATTATCTCAAAAAAAAAAAAAAAAAAAAAAAACAAACTAAAAATATTTTCTGTATTTAAATAACCTGCAAAGGGTTAAGCTGTAGAAAATGAATCGATCAAATCCAAATATGACATGGAGATTTAGGAAAAAAAAAAAAAAAAACTTATAATGAACAATGAGAAATAGCTTTCAAGCAAGATGGTGGACAGAAACTTCAAGTTGTGAGCTAATTCAAATATCTTGACTCAATTATCAACAAAGAGGGTTCCAGAATAGAAACAATTCCACGAACACCATAAACAACGGCAACTGTTGCCAAAAAAAAAAAGAATTATTTGTAAAGACAAGAACATCAGCCCTAAATCAAAGATCAGACTGACAAGCAAATGTGAATGGATATTTACAAGGCCTACCTCAAAGCGTACAATTATTAATCTACAAAAAATTCAATGATACTGGCTTATGAAAGTTGAAAGAAAGCACTAGGAAGACCTTGAAGAATTCATGTCCAAATTCTGTGTGGAAATATGAATGGTCCAAACCAAAGAAAAACAATAAATAAATCTTATAAAAGTATTTTCATCAGTCTTTAACCAAACATGTATTCCCATAGATTGGTTGTTTATATTCGAGTCACAAACTATTTACTTGGTATGTGGATTAGTGAATACTGGTCATTTGTGTTTGAGTCTATAAACATTTATTTGCTTCAGGGATATGTAAATATTGTTCATTTATATTTGAGCTCAAAAACATTTATATGGTTCCAGAATAGGTAAATATTGATTGTTTATTTTTGTGTCCATCATCATTAACTTGGTGACCTCTTTTGGAACAGGGTTGTATTAACTCAAGAAACTTATTGAGACTTAAAATCAACCCAGACCTCAAGTGAAACTCATACATACAATCCATCACTAACGATGATAGAAAAATTAGTTGGTTCCATGTATCTGCTATGTTCTACCTTTACAAGAGCCAGACCAGGCTGAAAATGTAGTATTGTTGCCATATATGGGAAGGAGCAGCACAGTCTTCACTTTCCAGTCTCAATATAGCCCAAAAGTGTCACCACAGCCTTGTGGATGACAAATTATTTTCCACCTTACAAAACATTGTCAAAAAAAAAAAAAGTCACTTCTCGTTACTCTATCACTATTTCCATGGAAACTGGTAGAACTAGATTCCTTAGTTCTACCAATCCTAACCTTCACGGCTAAGATTCAGCATGCTACTTACATGGTAGTGAACCATCCTCATTCCCTTCATATTCCATTGGTGTGATGTTTCGAATACACTTCAAATATTTCTTCTCATAAACTGCTGCTCTGTATAACCAACTCTTCAAAAACTGTGCCTCTTACTCTGTAACCATCTACCTCGAGTGGCTCCTGTGCCTTGGACAGAGTGAACATCACTTTAAAAAAAAAAAAATATATATATATATATATATATATATATATATATATAACTTTAAACTGATATTTTATAAGATCAGTGTTCCGTTTAAATATTTTCAACAGTTGTTATTTGATCATTTTGTCTAAATTCCTTTTTAATTTTGAAATTTTGAATGAAAAACGAAAAAAAAATTTTTTCATTCAAAATACTCAAAATTTTAGGAATACGTTTTCACATCATGTTAGTTTCAACGATTGATCATATTTAAATGGAAAATTTTGATCTTATAAAAGATTTCAGTTATCTGTTTGATTGGTATTTTTTATTTTATATATATATATATATATATATATATATATATATATTTTTTTTCTCCAGCAGTTAGTATACTATAGGCTTTGCCAACAGCAGAAAATATCTACTGTAACTATTGCAAAAAAATGTGAAAATTTCACAAAAGATGAAAACACACAAAAAAAAAAAAAATGTTTTATTCTTTATTTTTAATAAAACTCTTCTTCATCCAAATCTTTCTCTAATTCAACATTATTATCATACAACAAACGTATCTGAGACAACAACGGATCCATGTTTACTCTGTGCTTGGCTGAAATTGCAAATATTGGCAGGTTCACCTCATTCTTGAGGTGCTCAAGGTTTTTCTTAGCCCAAGGTAGATCAATCTTGTTAGCAACAATGGCATGGGGTCTTTTGGAAAGTCCTTTCTGATATTGTTCAAGTTCTGCCTTGAGAGCAGTCAGCTGCGTCCAGCATTTGTGTCCGGAGAGGTCAATGACGTATAACAGGCAACTGCAGCGTTCAATGTGTCGTAAAAAGGAGAAGCCAAGGCCACGATTCTGGTGAGCTCCCTCAATTAAACCTGGAATATCTGCCACTGAAAAAAGTAAGAAAATTAAACAAATTAAAATGTACTGATTTGATCTTTCTTATCAAATCACTAAATGAAAGTTGTCTTTAATGGCCACTCTTCTAGATCTTTTTGCATTAATGCAGGCAGGTGTCCACCTTGGACCTATGTCATTCCTAATTTTCATCAACGACCTTCCTGATGTCATCAGCTCTCAACCCAGCATCTACGCTGATGACAACTATTTACTCCCATCTTAATACTATGTCTGATATGGTCAAATTGGCAGCTGATCTTAAAAATTTCCTATATGTTGTTAACTGGGGCAAGGAATGGCTTGTTAATTTTAATGCCTCCAAAATGAAATTGATTTCTTTTAATCATCTGAGAGGACACTTTTTGCCTTTCATCTGCACGTGACTCTCAAGCTATTGTTTCCCACTGGCATGAAGTGGAAAGATTATATTGAATCAATTTCCAAGTCCACGACTTGGAAAGTTGTTTCATTTTGTCATGCTGGACACCTTTTCTTGACAGAATCTATCTTAAATATTTATAAGCCTACAATTCATCTATGCATTGAATATTCTATTCTATATAGTTAGAAATACTTGATAAAAAACAAAAGAATCTGCAATGTTACTGGTCATGACTGGCATCTCAGCTTCAGTCACTTTCACACCACCATAACATAGCTTCCCTGTGCATTTTCAATAAATGTTTTCATGGTAACTGTTCTGATGAACACTCCTCTATTGTACTTTAGGAATTTAAGCAGAATAATAGATTGGCAACAAGGTCTCATCATTTCACAGTTGAAATGGTTAGTAGATGTAACTAAGTTCTATGCTAACAGTTTTTTTTCTCTCGCACTTGTCGCTTGTGGAACTCTCTTCCAGCTTCTTGCTTTCCAATCAACTTTGACCTTCAAAAATTTAAATTCAATGTCAATCATTATATTCCTGTTCTTTTATTGTTCTCTCTCTTTAAAAGTTTTTCTTTTTCTCATATTCTCTCACACTCAGTAACTCCCTTGCGTCTTAGCAGCTTTATTACTTTGCTTGGGGTGAAATGATTAAAAAAAATGAATAAATAAATGTTGGAAATGGTGTTGGAAAATTTTAATTTTTGACAAGATTAGAAAATATTTGTATCAGTTGTTATAATTTTTTTTTTTTTTTCCAATTTCATGTTTGTCAATAAAATGTCAAAGCCCAAAATGGCCAAATACTATTGGGAGCCAAATAATACAAAAGGAGTAATAATTGCAAGGGGGTGGGTAATAGAGAAAAATCAGATAATCTAGTAATGGGAGATGGACGATAGTTTATTAAATGGGTTGGTGGGGAAAAAAAAAAAAAACTCAATAAATGGACAGGTGCAATAAGTGGGGTAGTCATGAAATAATTAAAAATAAGGTTTTCAAACTATAAGAAGACTTTGAAGAAATAAAACTAAAAATAAAATGTCCCTTATTGCCCTTAAGGATTACGGCTATATTACGTTGAAACTCTGGTTCTCGTCTAATCACCGAAGTTAAGCAATGTCAATCCTGGTCAGTACCTAGATGGGCGACTTCTTGGAAATACCAGGTGCTGTAAGCTTGGATGTGTTAATTGGTAGGACCTATATCAGAAAGACATTATTACCTCAAAAATATATTCTTACAATCCAAAAATATTTGCTAGCTTTAAATAACCTGCAAAAGGTTGATAAGCCATAAAAATAAAAATCAATCATCTGTTTTTAAGAGAGATACTTTAGCAAAAGTTTTATTTAATATAGGGTGTTCCAATAACTTGGGCTGATTTTAAATGTGAATTAAGTTTAAGTGTCAAATGATTTTTTTCTTTGGCCTTCAGATTTAACAACTTAAGTCTTTGACAATTTCAACCATGGAAAGGTTATCAGTCAAACAATGTGCTATCGAAGCCTATTACAAAAATGGATGTTCAAATTTATAAATATACAGCACAATGATTCTGTTAGCAAAAAAATGCACACCAAACAGTGACCTTTTGTGGATGCAGTGGCTTTTCAACAATCTTCCGACAAATGCGACAATTCTGCTTATTAACAAATTCACCAGGATGAAAATGAGCTTCATCACTAAAGAGGATTTTTTGCGAAAAATCTTCATCAGCTTGTCTTTGCTCATGCACCCAATTGATGAATGTACAGTGCTCCAAATGGTCAGCAGGTTTCGGTTCTTGTGTCAATTGAATTGTAGAGACAAATCTTTTGTCAAAATTCGATGTAACGTTGTTGTAGAGAGGTTCAATTCCTGCATGCGATGACAAATAGAGGTGTCTGGATTTTCGCCCATATTCTCGTGCACTGCAGCAACGTTTTCAGCTGAACGGCGTAAACGAGCACGCAGTGGTGTTTTCACATCTGCCACCGACCCAGTTTGTTTGAATTTACGAACAATTTTTCCAACTGCACTCTCAATTGGTCGATTATATTGACCAAAAAAATTGCGAAGTGCATGAAATGCATTTCTGTTTCATCGTCCATTTTCATAATAGGCTTCGATAACTTTAACATGTTGTTTGATTGTTAAAATGCTTGAAATTGCCAAAGACTTAAGTTGTTAAATCTGAAAGAAAAAATCATTAGATGCTTAAGCTTAATTCACATTTAAAATCGATCCAAGTTATTTAGAACACCTTATATTTCCATTTTCAAGCAATCTACTAAATAGAATGACTGAAATAATAAAAATTAATAAATAAGGGTTAGGTCTGAATGAAGTTAGAAACATTGCAGGTGGGGGAGCAACAGTTAAAAAAGAACAGAGATGTTTATCTGACACTAGAGGGTAATGAAGCAATAAAAAGCAGAGGAAAAAAATGAAGAAACAAATTAATTTTACATATGTCCCTTCAGGATATCGGCAGGGGGTCTCAAACATGCAGCCCATGGACTATCTTTCTGCAGCCTGCAGGGAATGACTTTAATGATCAAATTTTTTCTCAATATTCAATAGGTTTAATAAATTTCTACTTCACTTCTTTCATACTTTTGGAGTAGTAGTATTGAGCCTCACTGACATACCAAGTGAAAACAGACAGTCAATCAATTTTAATGTCAGCGAGGTCTGTTCAGATGTGGGATGCGGTATAATGGATAATGGTTCAAAGTGAGAAATCAGATATCCAAGTTCAAATTCCAGCCAGGTTTGTTACATTTACTTATGCACAAATACCCTTGGGAAAGGTAAGAATCCATCTCTTCTACCCCATCCCATTTAAATAGCAAGATACACTGTCTACTGCAGAAAGAAACAGAAGCTTACTGTGAGAAAATATTCTGTCTAGTCAGTCATGAATCGAAAGAGACATGATCACCCAAGCATGTATTATTGGCACAGGTAGATTTTGGAATTATGGTATTGCACTCAATTTGAAAGTTTGGGTTTGACATCATAAATAATGACAAAATATTTTTTTCCAAATTGTTACTGATTTTTGAGGAAACAAGTTTGAAGATTATGTTTAGGCTTGGTTTGGTTTGGTTTGGTTTGGTTTGGTTTACTGCATATTAAACTCAATGGGTTATTTAATGCCAACAAGAGTTTTATTGCTGGTAATATTTTTTCAAAAATGTATTGCTGCTAATATTTTTTCTTCAAAATTAGTACCAGCAATACAGCTGGTACTAATTTTTCCGCAAAAAAATTTATTGCTGGTATTAAAACTTATTTTTACACTTAAACAGTGTTTTGACCTCGGTTTGGGGGAACACCAGCAATTAAGAGGTGGTTCCACATTCCTCAAAACTTCCTGATCAGAGGCCTTGCTGTCAAACATAGTTTATCATCTAACCCAGGACACAGATCTAGTTTATCGCCATATCCAGGACGTGATTATGTTTAGATTAAAAATTGTCATGTTGGAGTTTCATTTGGGTGAGCAGTGAAAGTTTGACCATCGTATAAATTATGAATTCATTTATACAGTTGGTGGCAAAAATACCTCCTATATATACTCCTCATGCAATGGTTAAGATATTAGCGACAATGGTGTCTGCATTGAGCTGATGTCTTAACATTATGTGGGAGGTATTTCTACAAGATATATATGGGAGGTATTTTGCCAATCCCGTACGATCATTGGCAATTTCTTTTCCATTAATCCACACAAAACACAGATTTTCAATCTCTTCAAACAATTTCTACACAATTTATTAAGTTTGCTCATTTTCCTTAATGACCTGAAAAATGTTTTTTTTTAATTCCTCCCTGTGTTTTGAGTATGCTATGGAGTTCTCGATTTCGACATTTCATACAAAGTCTGCCAAACTTATTCCACTTTTGTTTAAAAATTATTTCCTTCTTAATTTCTATGGTAATCAATATCCTCACATGATTCCATCGACCCATGATTATATTTTTACTTTAAAGAAAAAATACCATTTTCAATATAAAACATGAAAATATACCGGTTGATAGTTTACAACACAAAATGAGGACACAATATGGGAACTGAGCTGGTATTGAGAATACTCTTGGTCATATACGCATGGGATTTATCATTCAGTTTTAAACTGGTTAAGCTAATTTAATATTCTTCAGTGAAACTGTTATTCAATTTGTTCATTTTGCAAACTATATATATATATATATATATATATATATATATCCTACACACATATCTCAGCATCCTTGGTATGACGATAAACTACATCTACGTCCTGGGTAAGACGATAAACTACATCTAACAGCAAGGCCTCTGATCAGTAGATTTTGAGGAGTGTGGAACCACCTCTTAATTGCTGGTGTTCCCAAGTCCACCCTGACCCAGGGTGGTAGCACCTGTTAGGGTCCCAGCTATGAGCAAATAGTTAACCCCAAAACTAAGGTAAAAAGTATTATAAAATATTACCAGCAATAAGTTTTTGAAGAAAAAAACTATTACCAGCTATACATTTTTGAGGAAAAAATATTAACAGAAATAGATTTTTGACAAAACAAAAATATTACCAGGAAAAAAAAAAAAAAGTTGCCGGCATTAAATGACCCATTGAGGTTGATATGCCATAAAACAAAACAAACCAAACCAAACACCTCACTGTACATATTTTCTAAATCAAACAGTATTCAAACGTTCTGTTTCATAAACTTACCTGCAACCTGGACATAGTCATCATATTCAATCATACCGATGTGTGGGTTGAGTGTATATAAAAAAGTAGCTTTTGACCTTGGGCCGAGCCCGAGATATTGCTCTTAACAAAGTGGATTTGCCCACATTTGGAAAGCCAATCTGTTTAAAAAAAAAAAAAAATGGGACAATAAAAATAACAGGTGAGAAAAAAATTTTACAGGTTACCTTTGTAAAAAAAAAAAAAAAAAATATCAGAAAGACGAAGTCGATAAGGCCTCCCTCTTCCCTAACAACTAAAGACATGGAATAAATTACATTTCTTCTGTCTTTGCTTCATTATTCAACAAGCAAACTTGTCAGATTTTTGCAATAAGTTTCTGCTAATTTCCTACATAAGCAAAATATATTGCAACTATGAGCTGAATTAACTGTCTATAATGGCTAAGAGGTAATTGCCTGGACTGAAATACATTATAATGACAGTTGAATAATTTCTTAATAGTGTAATGATGAGCTAATCAAATTCCTTAATTGTCAAGTTATGCAAAACTACTCAATGAAATATATTTTATTACTTAAACGTTATTTCTAAAGTAATAAAATCTGTCAGATTAATAAATAAAAATCCATCACTTCTTTAGAAATTGCTTTGTTTACATTAGGATACAAAACTGAGCAGATATGAGTGTTTTGAGAGTTGGAGAAAGATTTGCATTTATAAGGCATTATTCAATTTTGCTTGATTGTTGACACACACCACGACCAAGACAGTCTAAAAACGGAGCACCTACTCAAATATGGGTATCCACTAAAAATAATGCTTAAGTAATTAAATCTGCTCTTTCAAAGCACACAAATAGCTTTGACATTGATAATAAAAGAAAAATTAAAGTCTTACACTGAACAGTTACAAACAGTAATTGTTATTACAAAACATATTTCTGAATAGAGAATTTTTTTTTATATTCAGACTTTCTCTTCCATCTGTGAAAAGTCCATGAGAATACCTACATTGTGTCAGGTCTTAGAAAGACTTCTGGTAATAAAGGAAAATGGAATAATGACTAAAATCAATACTTACTAAGCCGACATGTGCTAAGGTCTGCAGTTCAACTGACAAATGAAAATTTTGTCCTAGGGCTCCTTCTTCGACAGTTGTTGGTGCTCTTTCCTCATTGGTCAAGAAAAATCGATTCCCTTTGCCACCAGCCCCACCCCTTGCAGCCAGGAAATAGTGATTATCCCGTTTAAGGTTAGAAAGGATTTTTTTCTCACTGTTCCGCACAACTGAGCCAAGAGGCACCTGTGAAATGAAAAGAAAGAAAGTTGGGGATTAGCATTGCATAACTTTTTAACGATTGTAGGTGACAGGGAAGCAAGAAATCAGTTCCACACACGCAGGAAAAGAAACTATTAGAACAGACAGTTTGCTTGTTGAACAGTAAAGGAGTGATACATAATCCTCAATCTCGAAGCACATTTAAATTCATGCATTTGAGGCACCAGTGAAAAAAAGCTCATCAAAACAATAGCCATGAAAATATTTATAGAAATGAAAGAGAAAAGCCATATCACGTTGGTAAGAAAGTGACTAAAGTCAATATACCACAGGTCAGGATTGATTTCATTACAGACGCTTCTTTGAATTTTGTCAAGAATCTCAAGACATACAGTCAAATTAATCAAATTCTTTATTTAAAAAGATGTTATTCTTTCAAATGATTTCTACTAGTTCTTTCTTTCTTTCATTAGGAGGTGGGATGTGTGGGTGGCTTGAAATCAATGTCACCTTGCCTTGGTTTTTTTTTTTTTATTGAATTTTACCAACCCTTGCTTTGAGCTGGTAGCCTAGATGGTCAGTAAAACCAAAACTCTTGTAGAAATGCATGAACACATCTAAAAACATATTTAACCAAGATAGGTAACAAAGTGTTAGTAAAAACATAAATTTTGTCTTAAAAAAGTTACTTTTCAAAATAAGCAAATTGTTTGACTATCTCCCAGGCAATAAAAATGTATTCTCCACCTATCCTATTTCCTCTTCCTCTCTGCACTTCACTGCAGCCTGTCAATTTCGGCCAAAGTGTTTCTAAACAGTGAAAAATTAGAGAGTGAGCCAACACATCCATTTTATTCATTTTAAAAAAGATATTAATTAAAAAAAAAAAAAAAGTTATGTTCTATCAATTTTAAAAAAATTGAACGATCATTAAATGTAAATACAGCTTTTATATTGAATTTATAAATTTAATTAAAAAAAAACTTTGTCAAAATTTTCAAAAAATATACTTTGTTAACGGAACTGTTTTCGTACTGAATTTTTGAATTTAAAAACTTTTGTTCTGTCAATTTAAAAAAAAAAAATACACAAAAAAAATTTGTTCTGTTGTAATTCTCAAAAAATGTTTTTTAATTGAACTGTGATTAAAAGTAAATACTGATTTTGTTTTAAATTTATTGATTCAATTGAAAAAAGAAGAAAAAAGTTGCTCTGTCAAGTGATTCAGCATGATTAAAACTGCTTTTTGGTATGATGATAACAAAATACTTAATCCATAAATTTTGCAGTTTAACACTAGAATTTATGAAGAAACTTTAGTTGGGACCCATTGAATTTCCCAGGGACCCATCCAAATCACTACCTGTAGGACCTGGAGACTCACAACATTAAAAACCTATCAGTACCATTGTATAAATACACACACACACAGAGATATCTCCACAGAAACTACCAAAGGTTTAAAATTAATTTTAAAAAATGAAAAACACTTTCTTGAAGTTTTTATTTATTTTTAATTTCAAGCTAATAGATTAAATCTGATATTTCCAATAAGCAAAATACTTTACTGCATTTCAAAGCTAATTTAAATTGAGTGGAAGGAGTTTTCATTTTGAAATTGCTAAATGTTGGTTTTAGCACCATTTTTAGCCATCATGATGTAAATCATCTTTATCAAAAATCTTTCAAAAGCAAAATATACTTTTCTCAAACTTTATCTGAGGAATATTAGTTGATTTAAAGTTTAATTAATCTGATTTGAAACAAATATATTGCAGAAATGCATTTTTTAACACAGTAGTAGCTGTTTATTTAAGGTGTTGACAGGTTGACTGATAGCAGGAAGTTTATCAAATTTTTCTCTACAGTGAATATAGCTATAATGAGGAATATAAGCATCATTTTTATATAATTTTTAATACCCAGTAATCTTAAAAATCTAGGAAAATATTCTCTGTAATCTAATGTTTTATTGAATTTTAAATACTATGGCTTTAAATTTACTATACTTATTGTTCTTATTTTTTGGATAATGTTATGTATGGATGTCCATATTTACAAAAAATTCAATACATTTATATACAAAAAAAAATTAATTTTAAAATATTGGGGTGAGGGTCAATGTAGTGTGGTAAGCTTTTCCATTTATAATTTGTAAATATAGTTTTAACTTAAATAATATCACCTAACTAGTAAAATTAATACAGAATTTTAAAAAGATTAAAAATTTTTATAAATTATTAAAATAAAATTAAAATTTTTAAAAATTAAATAATTTTTTTTAAAAACAATATTATTCATCCAAAAACATAAAAGCAATTAAAAGCTTTTTGTCATTAAATAATGTCTTATTTTTATTGCATTTTTTATTTTACAATTCAGAGCAGATTTTCAGTAACTCGGGATCTGTTTTACAAAAAAAATTTTCATTGTCCAAGGAGTTTCGCGTATGACCAATATAAACATTAAGTGATACAAAGATTAATTTCTTGAAATTTCAGAAAATTAAATGTTGCAGGGGAGGGGAGATAATAGATGTAAAAAAAAAAAAAAAAAAACAAAATATTTTTACCAAAAATTTCTAAGAAACAAACATTTCTAAAATAATTTTGTTCATTTATGAGTAAGTCCTGAAAGTTTTATGAAAATCTGACAATTATTTGATTTTTGCAAGAATTTCCAAATCAATGCATTTTTTCAATGCAAAAAAGACACTTGAATTTCCTATATTAATCTTTAGTTTTAATGCAAGAAAAACAAGATTTTTAACCAAAATATCAAACATTCTGAAAAGGAACAAAAAATAATAATAATAAAATGCTTTGTTCTTTCCTCTTAATAACTTTGTTTTTATTAAGCTTGCGGTATTTTTTTTATCATGGTATGGTCATTTGTGAATCTGTGGAGGTATCTCTCTCTCTCTCTCTCTATATATATATATATATTATATATATATATATTATATGCACATATACACACACATACATTATATGCAAACATACACAAGGATATGTTATGTGCTGAAAGTTCTTGGCCTGACCAAGCCCTTTAAAAAAAAAAAAAAAAATTAAATCAATACTTTGTCAGATTTTGGAAAGTAGGTCAGGTCAAGAACTGTTCAGTGATTTCTTGACATGCATTTTTCTGTGTCAAATCATTCACAGACTGCACAGATACAACTCTGCAGATATGGCACCAACCTCAGGAACAGTGAACAGAAAATTACACTGATCATATGCAGAAGGCTCGGAAAAGTCCATAGAGATTCTGATACTCGACATATTGATCCAAAGATTTTTATGGCTAATCATTAACTTACCTTAACTATTGTGTGTTTTGCATTCTTTCCATGACAGTTTTTGTTCCTACCATTATTTCCATCAGCACCTCGTATAATAGACTTCAAATGTCCCAAAGATTTTACATTCCTGGAGGCTGAAAAGCAAAACAAAATATTAAAGCAAAAGTGAAAGGCATGTTCAGGAAGAAACATTTATATATCCCCCCCCCCATTAAAACCAGCTTCATTAATAATTCTGATTACCATATATAATTGAATATAGTGGAAGTTTTTATGATCAGTTTTTTTATGCAAAATAGGGGAAATGTTGTACTAAACACAGGTAATATTTTTGAAGAGATTAAAAAAAAAAAAGATGCTCTATAGTTGAACTATATACAGGTAAATTTTTTTCATGAGATTAAAATTCAAGCAAAAATTTCAAGGGTGGTACTACAGATGAAGTTGGCTTATACACGAGTATATACGGTAATATTTACTTTCATCTTAATGACAAATAGCTAGAACATTCAACCAAACTACCTTGAAGCAAGGAGTTTAAGTCTAAGAACATTTCCTTTATTTATGATCCATGTTGTCCAACTAATGAGGTAGACTGATTGTATAAATAAAAAGAGAATGAACACTGACTAAAAAAGTGAATGTGAAAATGAATCCACCAAAAAATTAATAATAATAATTCACAATGCTTCATCTAATTAAAAATGAAAAAGAAAGTAAATAGCATTAAAATAATTAATAAAAATAGCCAACAATGCTTCATCTAATCAAAAATGAAGATGAAAGTAAATACCATTAAAACAATAAAAATGGGTAACAATGTTTCATCTAATAAAAAATGAAGACGAAAGTAAATACCATTAAAAAAATTAATAAAAATGGCCAACAATGCTTCATCTAATGAAAAATGAAGATGAAAGTAAATACCATTAAAATAATTAATTAAAATGGCCAACATTGCTTCATCTAATCAAAAATGAAGACGAAATTAAAATAATTAATAAAAATGGTCAAGAATGCTTCATCTAATCAAAAATGAAGACGAAAGTAAATACCATTAAAATAATTAATAAAAATGGTCAACAATGTTTCATCTAATAAAAAATGAAGATGAAAGTAAATGCCATTAAAGCAAATAATAAAAATGGCCAACAATGCTTCATCTAATGAAAAATGAAGATGAAAGTAAATACCATTAAAATAATTAATAAAAATGGCCAACATTGGAACCATCTAATCAAAAAATGAATTATTTTCCAAATGCCATTAAAGCAATTAATAAAAATGGTTAACAATGCTTCATCTAATGAAAAGTGAAGATAAAAGTAATTACAATTAAAGCAATTAATAAAAATGGCCAACAATGCTTCATTTAATCAAAAATGAAGATGAAAGTAAATACTAGTTATTTTCCATGATATAAAATAATTGGAGATCAAATGGGGTGAAAAAAACTTTCACTTACAGAATGTATATGAAGACACATGTTTTTCCATTCAATTATAAATTTAAGTGAACTGGCTCTAAAGTGATCATTTATTTATCTTGTATATATCTTGCCTAATCTCAGACTTGTCAAAGGTTTACAAAATATGGACCATCCTGGGTTTTTTCCTGTCAACCATGACATCTGCAAGTTCATGTTACATCTACCTGCAATGTTTTGTCCAATTCAGCCTTGCAGTTTAAGCATGAAGAACATTTGAATAGAGATCAAAATTATCCTCGGATCAATATCCAAGTTTTTCTCGCTTCACTCATTGAACTTGGATAATGAAAAAAGAAAGAAAGAATATTTTTTTTCAGTTTATCACTAAAAAAAACTAAAAAAAAACGAACCTTCAAATATAATGTGTCCACCATTACCACCATCGCCACCATCAGGTCCAGCCCATTCAGTTTGCGGCAACTGCAAAAAGCTCAAGCAGCCATTTCCACCTTTCCCAGCAATGACCTGTACCTCTTTGAAATCCACAAAGTTTCGGTCCTTTCAGAAAATAATCAAAACAAATTTAAGATTATTATTAATTTTCAGAATAAGTCAAACAAGCAAATACAAGTGATTTTGCCAGTGTCATTCACTAAATCAGCAGCAAATCCTGTATCATTCACTAAATCAGCAGCAAATCCCGTATCATTCACTAAACCAGCAGCAAATCCTGTGTCATTCACTAAATCAGCAGCAAATCCTGTGTCATTCACTAAACCAGCAGCAAATCCTGTGTCATTCACTAAATCAGCAGCAAATCCTGTGTCATTCACTAAACCAGCAGCAAATCCATTGTCATTCATTAAATCACTAAATCCAATAAACCAATATACTCCAACTTATTTGAACTATTGTTCTCATCTTCTTATAATTGATGTTATTATAGACAATTATCTTCTATGCAGTTATTACTGTGTTATTTTTCTTCTTGTTTATTCTTACTGAACCAGAGTAGATGAATTTCACTACCTGACCCAGGGACTGAACTCATAACCACTAGATGACAGTACAACTTGATTAACAAATGTCTAAATTCACTATGCCACTGCTCCAAAGAACATCAGTTGTATATGGGGGCTTTAAAACAAGAAACTACATTGCAGACAAACAATGTGTCTCTAAAAACATCCTTAACAATCAAGGATGAGAAAAATTCAAATAAATCAAATGTCAAAATATACTGACAATACTCTGTCACAAATATCAAAACATAGCATTCTATACTACAGTTCTACTCATGGTGCAACTAAGGGCCAGAACTTGAAGGCCTATTGCAAAATGTTTGAATTTGGGAAATTATGAAAAAAGTTAAAACATTTTTAATATATGACTTCCATTAATTTTGTAGCAAAAAAACATCTGATTCATTTCTTTTTTTAAATGGTAAACAAAATTAAAATTCACCATTTATTTTAAAATACCTTTTAGAAAAAAGAAAAAACAAATTACTTATAAAAAAATTTATCATAAATATATTTGTTGCTATAAATAACAATATCATAGTCTAGTCAGTGCCATAGGTGATGCACACTTGGGCGATCAGTTGTCATAGGTGATGTACACTTGGCCAAGCAGGATTATTTTGATTAATGACTCATTAAGCAGAAGATTATCTTGCATTTGGCTGCCATTTTTTTTTTCAGCCAATCAAGGCTATAGGGCCCACTCTATCCTGCTATTCAACACATAGCTGGGAGAGAAGAGATGAATTCATACCTTTTCCCAAGGGTATCAGTGCATGTAACAAGCCCAACTGGAATTTGAACTCAGCTCTCTGATTTCTTGTTTTGAACCATTTTCCATTACACCATACCACAGATCCATATCAGGGTATGACCATAAACTACATTTGGCAGCAAGGTCTCTGATTAGAAGGTTTTGAAGAGCGTGGAACCACCTAATTAATTGTTGCTATTCCCAGATCCACCCTGACCCAAGGTGGTAGCACTTGTTAAGGCCCCAGCTATGGGCAAATGGTGAACACCCAAACTGAGGTCAAAACATCAAAATATAAAACTACGTTATGAAAAATTACCAGCAAAACATTTTTGGAAAAAAAAAAAAAAGAATAAAAATTACCAAAGCTCACAAAATAGAATTTTGGCCTTAAATAACCCATAAGGAATTGATACAACATTAAACAAAATAAATCATATCAGAGAAAAAAAAATGTAAGAAGATATTAAATTTATTTCATGACAAATGGCATTTTTAAATAAATTTCATAGTATAAAAACAGAATCAAGGAAAGTCTTCAGTATAAAAGAAAATGTTTTGTAACATTTGTAAGGCTAGAAAAAAATTAGTTTAATAAATTATTTCTTTAAGTAAATTACTCCTTTTTTGGTCAAAGCTTACTTCCTCATCTAGACTTTTTATTCTGTTTTAATATATAACAGTATGAAATATGATAAAAAAAAATTCAACATACCTTTTTTTGTTTACCTAGAAACAGAAATAGAGATTATACCAAAAAAATAAAGTTGATCATTAGTGCATTTGCTTATATGAATGAAAAGTTAACAGAGAAGAATATTAAATTAACTTTAAGTGAAAAATATTAAAATACTTCCAAGATTCTTAAATTACATTTTTTAGTGAATTTCACACAAAACGTAAAATGTGGATAGTCTGAAAGAAATAAATCAATCTTGTACTTAAACTAAATTTAAAGTGTAAAATCAAAAATTTCTTAAGCCAATTACAGAATCGAACTACAAACACAAACTAAAATGCATTGCTGCCATTGGAACAAAGAGTTTTTGAAATAGGTCTCCAGCTTTAGTTGCAACATGAGTTAGCCTGTAGTATAGAACAATATGAACCAAAACAAAAAAAAAATTATATTTGTCTATATTTCTGAGATGAGGTATTGTAACTACATCATTCGGACTGTTGTCCTCATATTTATTGCCATATTCACAACGTTTCAGGCCTTGTATGCGCTGATATTTTTCAAGTGATAAACATTGAAATTTCAAACCAAACCCTTAAAAAAAAATTATCAATAAATCAAGTAGAATCCCTTTTACCATTTCCTCATTTAGACTGCTTTAGGGATAGGAGAAATATTCAACTGCCAAAATTTAGAGTTGGGGAGGAAAATTTCAAACAGCCACTTGAGGGGTTAATTGTAAAAGTGAGCCATGAAGTAGACTCATAACATGGTTGTAAATCTGTTATTTGTTGTTATTTACAAAGTTTACATTAATTTGGGCATAAGGCTACAAGCAGGAGTCACCCAGTGAGGAGCAATCTCACTAGTAACACTCAATCAGTTCAGCTCATTAAGGCACACTTAATGTCTATCATTCATTATTGGTGATCCAACTTCAGACATATTTGGCATATCATTTTATTTTTTTTAATGTCATGTTCCTTCATGATATAAGCACGGCCCTCCACATCCTCCTTTTCCTGATGTATGAATTCTTGGAAAATGAATTAATTTGGGCAGAGTAGTTTCCAGTTGCCCTCTTCACAGTTTTACAGAGCAATCTTTCTCCTCAACTGGCTGCCCACCCAAAGCTAGAGAACACAGTCTACCCCACTATTTAGTCATTAACAGGTGTGGAGAAGAAAGGGATCCATACCCTCCCCAAGGGCATTCGTACAAAAATGAAAAAATGGTCATAATTTGAACACGAATCACCAATACCACTTTCTATACTGATAACTGTTAAACTAGCTGCCCATCAGTGCTAGGTAATAAATAAAATAAAAATAATGTTAGTCTATAATGATTCAGGTTTTTTGACAGTACATGTCCTTTCTTTTGCTATTTTTACATTTAATGATTTTAGAAGCATAATTTTTTTGTTACATGCAACAATTAAAAATTAGCATGGCTGCTGCTAACTTCAAAGAGACTGACACATTAGGCCTTCTCAGGATAACATTTTCCACTGACATGAAGTGGAAAGATTATATTGAATCAATTGCTAGGTCTGCTACTAGGAAAATTGATTCACTGTGTCATGCTATGTAATTCTTATCACTAGAATCTATTTTACATATTTATAAGCATACCACTCATTCATGTTTTGATTATTGCTGCCATATCTGGTGTTTCTGCCATGTATTTAGAGATTCTTCATAAAATACAAAGAAGAATCTGCAATGTTATTGGTGTTGATCTATTATCTCAACTTCAGTCCTTTTTCCACTGCCATAACATAGCTTCCCTGTGCCTTTTCTATAAATATTTTCATAGTAATTGTTCTGATGAACTTTCCTCTTTGGTACCTAAACTTCATGAATTTAACCACAGAACTAGATTGTCAACATTACTTTACAGTTGAAATGGCGAGATGTGACCATAAATTCTATACTAACAGTTTTTTTTCTTGCACTTCAAGCTTGTGGAACACATTTCCAACTTCTTGCTTTCCTGTCAACTTTTCAAAAATTTAAATGTAATGGCAATCATTATCTACTGTCTTCCCGATTACTCTTCTATTGTTCACTATTTACATTATTTGGACTATTGTCTTCATCTTTGTTGCTATATTTATCACATTTCGGCCCATTGTATGCTCCAGACTTTTTCAGGTGTTTGAAATGTCGAACTGAACCCTTTATTTTGCTCACTGGAGTAGACTATTCTAGTTCCACATGCCATGTCAGTTATCTCCTGTTAATTCACCTCTCCGAGTTCTCTACTGCCTTAACCTGGTATTGAACTCACAACTCTCTCTGTCACTGGATTTAACCAACGCCTTTATTCACTGTGCTATGTGTCCTTTGTCTATTGTTCTCACTCAATTTTCACTTGTGGAACTCTCTTCTGGCTTCTTGCTTTCCTGTTGACTTTGATCTTCAAAAATTTAAATGCAATATCTATTATCTTCCACCTTCTTAATTCCCATTCTTTTACTGTTCTCTCTCCTGAATAGTTTTTTTTTTTTTTCTCAAATTCTCAGTAACAACTTACATCTTAGTTGGGGTAAAAAAAAAAAATTATTTAAATATGGCTGTCATTTTTTTGACATTGTAAGTTATGTTAGTAATTTTTTTTATATTTTTTACTTTTTATGATTTAAAAATAATCCTTTCTTATGTGCGACACTAGATTTAATTGTATAGATAAAAATCTTTGATTACTCATACAGAAAATATAACCAATAAAATTACAAAATTACTTCCTTGCATGGAATACTGCTATCATATATGGTCTGGTACCCCTGTTGTACGTCTCAAGGTCCTCGACAAAATCCAGAAAAGAACATGCAATGCAATCTGGCATAATTGTCTACAGTCACTTTCTCACAGACATGCTGTTGCTTCCCTCTCTTTCCCTCTTCTAAAAGTATTTTCACAGCAACTGTTCTGACGAGCTACTTTTGTTGGTTCCCAGACTGCATGAATTTAAGAGAGCTACTAGGCTGGCATCTTGGACCCATGCTTTCCCTGTCGAAACGGTTAAATGTAACTGTCTCTTCTACTCAAAAAGCTTCTTCTCTTGCCCCTCCCCTCTGTGGAACTCCCTTCCTCTTGCTCGCTTCCCTGATAACTATAATCTTCAAATATTCAAGTGTAATGTCAGTCGACATCTTCTGGTACCTTGATCATGTTCCCCATCCTTCTCTTTATCCTCTCCCCAAACACGCCTCTTTACTCTTGTTCTCAATCTTCTGTAACCCCTTGCGCGCTAGTGGCACTTTCACCTTGCTTGGGGTGAATTGAAAAAAAATAAAGAAAGAATATTGCTTCCATTTTTTTGCTATCTTTATTAATTTCTCGTGTGATAATGCCACTAAGATGCAAGAGGCTACTGAGACTGAAAGAGAGTGAAAAGACTTTAGAAGGAAACGGAAACCCAATCCTAAACACGTAACAAGGGATAAATCTCTACACCTGTTCAAAAGACCCAGGAGGAGTATGAACAGGGCGATAGGCAAACCTATCAACTCCTATTGAGAAGAAACAAAAATAAAATAAATAATTAGTAAATAAAATTTTAGAGTTCAGGCAGAGACCTGAGACGTATAGAGTTAAAGTAGACTAAACCCAATCCTATACAGGAAACCCCGGATAAATTTTTCACATGTCACTTACATAGTAGCAGACCACCCTCATTCCCTCCATATTCCATCAGCAAGAAGTAAGTTCCACTCAAACAGCTCCTTCCTGCGAACCACTGTTCTATGGAACAGGCTTTGAAGAGAATGTTTCCCTGATCACTACAATCTTAACCTGTTCAAGTTTAGAGTTAACCGTTATCTTTCCTTCCTATCCATATAAACTACCCTTTAACATAACCCTCTACCTTGAGTGGCTCCCGGGCCTTGTAGAGAGTGTACCTTAATGTAAAAAAAAGCAACACCAATCCTGGTCAGTACCTAGATGGGTGACCACTTGTGAATACCAAGTGCTGTAATATGGGATGTGCAAGTGGGTGGTGTAAGGGATAATGGTAAGTCAGAGAGCCAAGTTCAAATTCAAGCCAGATTCATTACATTCACTAAGTACCAACAAGGCTCAACATTTCTTTACTTCAGTGATTGTACAAGAACTGGTGTTTCAATGTGATGTGGTTGTAAGATAAATATGGAATGACCGACCATTCCTGCAGGCGTTTACTACCAATGACTTGATTGGGTAAACGAGACATGAGACTGAAAGGTTTTGTTAAAGAGAAAAGGGTTTAGTCCCTAGCATGACAATGCAAGGGCACACAACTATGCAAAACAAGCTAAATAAAAGGATCTTTAGGACGGGTGGGGGGAGTACTTTCACATCCTCTGTACCCACCAGATTTAACACCAACAGATTTTCATTCATTTCGATTACTGGGACATTTTTTTTTAAGTGGCAGAACATTGAAAAGCAAAAGAAACTGAAAAGTCTTTCAAAGTTTTTTTTATGAAAAATTTGCCTTCCCTTTGGGCAGCAGTCATTGAAGATGATTGTATTTTTTTTTTGTATCAGTTTTTATCTCCTTTCTATTAAAATGTAATTGCTTTCCAAACACGTTAACAATTACTTACCGCATATGACTGAGATCTTGGCTTGTGACTTTTTACTACACGAGGTCTGTCGAGGTCGCCGAATGAGAAGTCCGGTTTAAAATCACAAAATGTTCTTCTGATTATAGTCTTCACTTCAAATGCCAAACAAAGAAATCGCCGAGAAAACATCTAAGAAAAGAAAAGTCAGACAAAGAGACATGAGAATAGAGAGCGAGAAAAAGATAAAATAAAAAAAAAGAAATTGTAGAGTTGACCAAAAATGTTTGTTCAGTTTATTAAGTATGGTTCTTAAAATTTTTGACATAAACTCCTCATCACAGAAATTTGGTTATCATTATTTAATTCGTGCTATTGTCCTCATGACAATGTTTCAGCTATTGTATCCATCAGTCTTTTGGTGTCTGTCAATTAAAGTTGGTCAGTTTGACAATTTATGTTTCAGTATCGGTTTCTGTTTCTTTTTACCTTGATACCGCAGTTTTCAATTCGGTTTTAATTTAGTAATTTTTGCTTTCTAAGGAAGCCATTCATTTTCTTGTGTAATGATAGCATTTCAAGTCAATATCTGATTTCATTTGAAATTGATAAATTTGCAATTTAGTCCGTTCAACTCGCAAATTCTTCCTCGTATTTATGGATGCAGGATCTTGTATGCAAATAGATTTCTCCGCCACCTACCATAAATGTTCAAATGAGCTCACATCAGGCAAATAAGGCGACCAGTGGATAAAAGCGTTGGTTTAAGTAATCCAGTGACTTGACCCAATGAGTTGTGAGTTCAATACCTGGCCACAGCAGATGTGAACAAAAACTTGGAGAGGTGAGTTACTAAAGGGAAATAACTGAAACTTAGATATCCGGAAGAGATATAACATGTGGAACTAGAACAATCTATCCCAGTGAACGAAATAAATGATTCAGTTCAAAATTCAGTCACCTGAACCAAGCCAAAGGGTACAACAGATGAAATGTTGTGATGAGGACAACAATCCAAACAATGTAAATATTGTAAATACCTCATCTCAAGAAATATAGACAAAGATTTTTTCATAAAGAGAATTGCATTGTGATGGCAGATGGCTAAAAATGGCACTAATTTCAGCAATTTCAAAACAAAAACTCCTTCCAGTCAACTTAAATTACTTTTGAAATACAGTAAAATTATTTTGCATATTGGAAATAAGTTTAAGTTGAAATTCAAACTAAAAAGTTTCAAGAAATATTTATTTTAAAAAATTTATTTTAAAACTTAGGTACAGTGTAACCCGGATATAAGAGAAACCCGGATATAAGAGAGATTTTCTCTGGTCCCAAAGTGTTCCCATACTTACCTAAACAAAATAGACCAAACCCGGATATAAGAGAAACCCGGATATAAGAGAGATTTTCTCTGGTCCCAAAGTGTTCCCATACTTACCTAAACAAAATAGACCAAACCCGGATATAAGAGAAACCCGGATATAAGAGAGATTTTCTCTGGTCCCAAAGTGTTCCCATACTTACCTAAACAAAATAGACCAAACCCGGATATAAGTGACTTCTTCTCCGGTCCCGACAACTCTCTTATATCCGGGTTACACTGTATTTAAAATGCGTTTCTTGGCGGGCGGGGAGTCCGTGGTGGTAAAAAATGCCATCTCATGTCAAACACTGCTTTTTCTTTGCGGAGAAGTAGCAAATTAGTCTCTAACAGTTTATGAGAAAGCAACCCTGACTGGGTGGCTACACTTGCGCTAAATTAAACCTCGTAGTTGAAGTGAAAATGAAATAATCCAAGGATATATAAACCAACTGAAAGGTCAACTTTGGAGGAAAACGCATTTATATCTTGAACGCTATAACTCTCCGTTTGTGTTATGTGGGATGTTTGAAATTCTATCCCCACACACACGTTAATGTTTTTTTCTTAATAATAGTTAATAACATTTTTAGCAAGTAGCAAGTCAAATTTTAACGATTAGTCAAGCAAGTAGAGTAGTTTCTGAACACTTAGTTCTGTCAAGTAACTACCAGGTGTTTCTGGTTTTAGTCATAATTTGTTGGAATTAATTACAAACAGTTTTTTTGTTTACTGAAAATAAAAAAAAAACGAATCCTACTTTTGCATATTCGAATTTTTTAAATTTAAAAATTAATTTTAATATTGGCCTTTTTAATTCGATTTTTCAAAATAAAACTTTTATTTTTAAAAACAGAAATAGTACGCAAGACAATTACAAGATTAAGAAATAAAACTATATCTATAAAATTTTTGGGATGTTTAAAAACAAAAATCTTATCAGTGCTTTGAATAATTACGAAAAAAAAAAAAAATAGACTTACGACCTGGTTTGAGATGGGTATGTCCCGTGGGTATATCAATATTCGCTTTTGTGTGTGTGTGTGTGTGTGATAGACCTTTTAAATATGAGAAACGTTGGATCATGAAAAATACTTTTTATACGAGAAACATAAACCTAGATAAAAAAAAAAAAAAAAAAAAACTGTCCTGGTTTGAAGCTTGAAAATTAAGCCTACAAAAATATAACCCCAGATACTTCTCTTTCTTTAACAATACATCGTTTTTTTACGTTTTGAAATGTTATTCTTAATAAAGGAAAGAGTTAAATGACAATAAAAGTTTAAATATATAATAGTGTCCAACAAAAATTAAATGTTAAATTCATTAATAATTAACTAAAAGAAAAAACTGCATACCCTTTTAAATAGGATGAAGATCTCAACATGTGCAATCTCTAAAATAGCATCAATCTAGCAGTTAATGAAAGATATACAACAGAGCTGTTGGCTTGATCCGAATTCATTGAATGAAAACAAATTTGATGTGGGGTTTTGCAATATTTTACACACACATTATATATATATATATATATATATATATATATATATATATATATATATATATATATATATATATATATAAAAAGAACCTAGAATAATCGGTATTTTGTTTTAGGAAAAAGTTCGAAACAGTAGAAAATTGAATACATTTTATTTTTATTTTTTATAAAAATATGAAATAGGTCGTCATGAAAAACCTTTTAGGAGCTTTTAAAAAGGTCCTTTTTGTTTGCTGTTGTTTAATCAAAATATCTTCATCTTATGTACAGTTGGGAGTTCCGAGCCATTATAAGGTCGTCTTTAAGGTCGTCTTAAAATAAATGTGGCAAACTATTTTTAAGGTTACTCAACAAACAGATACTTCCATTTGAACACAACAAAAAAAGTACCCTTTTAAATTTCTCAAGTTTATAAAAAACGAAAACTTATTTTGATTATTAATAATTAATTAGTAATTATTAATTTACGACTTTCATTGTGCGTAAAAACTCGGTTGTATCGTAATTCTTTTTAATTTTTTTAGAAATATTTTCTGTAATTCGTGCAAAATTTGTGTCAAAGGTTTTGATGCTTCACAAACTAAAAAAAAAGTATTTAATTCTCTGATAAAAAAAACATTTTCTTAGAATGACGTGACTAATTTATCTAAAAAAAAAAAACGTAATTTTCGACGAAAGAACCGGTGATGAGTTTTATTCTTACCATCTAAAAAATAAGTTCTCTTGTGAAATAACGTTTGTTTATAAACTTTGCATTCTACGTCAATCTTGTCGTAATAAAACTCATAATTAACCGATTGACATTGGTAAAATTTTCAGAAAATTATATCTTACTATGATTATTAATTAATATATCGCGTGAGTTTCAGTTAATTTATCATTCTACTGTTGTTGAAACTGATTTTTGGGGTGCATGTTGGATGGTGTAAAGAAATAAATTAGACACTGTTTTGGAGAAATGACCAAAGATTTATTTTCATTTACAATATATGAAAATGTCTCTGGTAAGTCGTATAGTGTAGCATTTGAATGTATGGTGTACGAGGTGTGAAAAAGAGTATGCCTAACGCGACTGACAGCTTGTTGTCTATTGATTTGGGCTTGTCCCATTGATAGTGGAGTCCATTCTCTTTCTGTGTTCACATGAGATCGTTTCACAGCCTAATGGTCGGACGGGCTGTCAGCCATGCTCTTGAGTAACCTCTATGGTTAGCATGCGTGTGTGCGAAGTCAGTCAGTCTCTCTCTCTCTCTCTCTCTCTCTCTCTCTCTCTCTCACACACACACACACACACACAGCACTGTCTGGCTTCTCTTATAGCCTATATAAGGGAAACGCATGAACTTAGTTGTAGGAATCTGTGACAAGCGAGAGTCGCGTTGATAATGGCCAGCATCATGGTATATTTGTGTTTGTTTTAAAATTTGCTTTAAATAGAGTGCAGCATGTGTATGACTTAGCTAGGTAAAAATAATTGTATAAATTTGGATTTAATTTGTTATCTCTAACTATGGGTAAATTTTGTTTTTCTGCTAGAGAACTGCTAGGTAACCTTGACATATTTCGGAAGGATATTAGAATAATTCAGAACTTACATTGGGAGCAAACTGCCTGCATGTCGATAGAAAATGAATTGAGTAGTTACACAAAAATAGAAAGGGGCATGAGACAAGGATGTGTCTTCTCGCCAGATTTATTCAACCATTAAAGTGAGGTGACAAGGATTCGTTATTGGGGGCCACAATCTTAACCACACAAGATATGCAGATGACACGGTGTTAATAGATGACATAGAAAGGAAACTTCAAGAACTCCTACAGTAGAGAAGGAAGGTGAAAAGAAAGGACTAAACTTCAATTACAAGAAGATAGAATTCATGGTTCGATATCTGTCTATATTTCTGAGATGAGGTATTATGTACACTATTTACATTATTCGGACTATTGTCCACATCTTCGTTGCCACATTTATCACAACGATGTACGCTTCGGCCTTCTTCAGGTGGTTGGAATGTCGAAGTGAACCCTTTATTTCGTTCGCTGAGGTAGACTGTTCTAGTTCCACGTGCCATGTCTAATGGATGTCAGTTATCAGTTATCTCCTGTTAATTCCCCTCTCCGAGTTCTCCACTCATAACTCTTTGGCTCCTGTCACTGGATCTAACCTACGCCTTTATCCACTGTGCCATGTGTCCTTGAGGACATCTTTGTATGAATTTCTGGGACTTATAAACTTAATGTCTTCAGCAATCATTTTTTACCAGTGTTCATATTGCAATTTTTGCTGTTATCATTGAATTTTTTTTAACTTTATTTTACCAGAGCTCATATTGCTTATTATTGCTTTTCTCTGGCACTCCTTATTACTGGTTCCCATATTGTATTCATTCCTATGCTTGGTCGGCTCAGGAGAGTTTTATGGCCTAGCATATGTGCTGATTCCTTAAGTTTACGAATTTGATAACTGACATTCATTAGACATGGCACATGGAACTAGAACAGTCTACCCCAGCGAACAAATTAAAGGGTTCAGTTTGACATTCCAACCACCCGAAGAAGGCCGGAGCGTACATCGGCCGAAATGTTGTGATAAATATGACAAAGATGAGGACAATAGTCCGAATAATGTAAATAGTGTAGAATTCATGGTTGTTAGCAAAAGGAAAGCCCAACATTCAAATTATAAATCGGAGACGCCAGAATAAAAAAAAAATACAACAATTTAAATATCTGGGAAACGTTTTAACAGAGGACACAAAATGCGACAGAAATGCGGTAAAAGCAACAGAAATGTCATTCTATAGAAGGATGCTGAGAATGTGAGCAATGACAAAGTTTTCGAATAAATCAAGGCAAAAAGCATATTATACTTAACATCAGAAAGTGCAAGTTGAAATTTCTAAGGCCCATAATGAGGAAAGAAGGCTTGGAATATTTAATATTCACAGGGCAGAGAGCCAAGTTGAAATTCCTGTCAGGTTCATTGCATTCATCTATGTGCAAATACCCTTGGGAAATGTATGAATCTATCTCTTTCCCCAGTTATGGATTAAATAGTAGGATTTGTATCTGAAAAAATCATTGTTACTCTCAAAAAATTGAATTAATATCTGGTGAGATTGGAGCCAATGTTTATTTGATGTCTTTGAAACCTTTTTGTGGCAAGAGAAGTTTTAGTTATCTCTGCATGATGTGCAAGAGTATCATCTTGCAGGAATATAGTTTTTAGTTTAAAACATTTTGATTGCAACCTGTATCACTGAAAAAACATTTTGGTTGTGACCTGTACCACTGAAAAACATTTTGGCTTGACCTGTACCACTGAAAAACATTTTGGCTTGACCTGTACCGCTGAAAAAACATTTTGGTTGTGACTTGTACCACTGAAAAAACATTTTGGTTTGTCCTGTACCACTGAAAAAAACATTTTGTTTTGACTTGCATTACTGAAAAAACATTTTGGTTGTGACCAGTACAACTGAAAAATACATTTTGGTTGTGACCAGTACTACTGAAAAAAACATTTGGGTTTTGACCTGTAACACTGAAAAACATTTTGTCGAGTTTACAAATATTCTCGACATTCATCTTGAATCATCAACAACATTAAAGGGACCCATAATTTTTCACTCTACAATAGTCAAAAATGTTACTTCACATCCTGCCATTTGTTTTTTTTTGGGGGGGTTGTTTTTTTTTTTTTTTTTTTTTTTTTTTTGATGATTTACATCCCAAGCAAGGCAATAAAGTCACTAAGATTCTAGGGGTTACTGGATGTACGAGAATATGAGAAAATGTAAACATTGTTTGTGAGAGAGACTAATAAAAGAACAGGAATTAAGACAGAATATAACAATTGACAATGCATTTACATTTTTGAAGATCAAAGTTGACTGGGAAACAAGAAGCTGGAAAACGATTCCACAGACAAGAGGTGCGGTATAAGAAACTGTTAGCATAGAGCTTATAACCATATTTGGGTATTTACACTTTAAAACAGTGAAGCCTTGACACCAATCTAGTAATGTGCTTAAATTCACAGAGTTTAGGTACCATAGACGAAAGTTCAACAGAAAAGTTACCATGAAAATATTTATAGAAAAGGCACAAGGAAGCTAAAAAAAAAACATTGGCAGTGAGAAAATAACTGAAGCCGAGATGCCAGATCAGGACTAATAACATTGCAGTTTCTTTGAATTTTATGAAGAATCTAAGTATATATCAGAAGCACAGGCCCATCTAATGAGGCCTGAGGTCCTTATCAACCACCATGACGAATTCCCTGATGTCGAGGAGGAACTCTCCTCCATAATAGAGAACCTAATAGTCCTTATTTGGCTTCAACTCATCTATAGAGCTCTCCCATCCTTAGTTAAGCAACAGTATGTGATTGTTACGTTCGAGAAAGCCTGGCCTAAATCAAACCAGAAATATCACAGGTCCTTGACATCTTGATGGATGAACTACAGGCTTCTCATGATTCTAAGGTGCTTCACAATGCCTTTATGAAAAGGTGAAATAAATCTCCCAATAGACGACACACAAACAAACCAACCAAGCCGATTATGTAAACAGACCGGACGCTCAATGGTCGACCACTACCTCAGCTCCTGTAGATATCTACCTTGCGACGACAAACGATACTTTTCGAAGACCATACGATCCGTCCACGTGGATCATTCTGACATAAATAATTCTGCTACGGACAGGTCTAAGGATAATCCTATGGAAGAAGCCAATCGCGGACCAACAAATGTGACTCTACAAACATGCCATGTTCGCACAATTCATGCTCGCACAAATAAAGGTGTTCTGTGAACACCAACCAGTTCATTTAACAATTCATTATGGTGTTGAAGTGAGCATGATAAGGACATTTTTTTGCCAAGTACATAGGTGCATCTATCAAAAGAACCACTTTACAAGCAGACGGAGTTACCCGTTTTGCCTAAAACGAGAGGACCACAGCTTTCACCTTGACGCCCTCAAGGTGGAGGTACTAGTGAAGGAGGTACTAGTTGATATGCCGTTCGTGAAAACCAGCGACATTGGTATTCGACCATCCAAGAACCAGGTAAGAATCGGTGACTCTCTCACTATCCAATATAAACCAGGGGACGGTATTTCACAATCAACCCACGTACAACGTGCACAAGCCCTTATCCTCAGCTCTGAACATTTACCAACAGTGCTTTGACCTGGAGCGTATCTGGAACTAAACATCCTCAAGGTACTCCATCCTGAATCTACTCTCGTTATGGAACCCAGGATTAATGGAAGCACAACACCCAACTGTCCCAAAACCGAAATGATAGAAGCAATAGGCGGTAAGGTTAGAATCGTGAATCGTACCGGTGAGCCACAATTTATAGGCAAGAACAACCACCTGTGCTAGTTGTATCTAACAACAGACACAAACTCCATTTCAAAACCACAATAAAACCTTGGTGCAGTTATTCATAAATGCGATGAACTTGAGGCGGTCTGGGTACTCCGGAAACCAGACGATGTAGACATTACAATTGAGTATATCAACACATCCTTTTCTGTTGAAGAAACCCAATGGCGGTTATAGACTCGTAACTGCATTTGAATCTCAACATTCTCCTTGCGTAATAGTCCCGACACTGTATTTGGTCTGAGATCCTTTCTTGGGGTATACAAGTTTCTTGGGCGGGTTATACCAAAATTGCGCCGAGGTTTTATC